CACACCACCCCCGCAGCACCCCTTTCCACCTCGGACTTCGACCTGGGACCCGACGTCAAGCCACCTCCTGTCTTTTGCAGGGTTTTGTGGAATGCAAGGCAGCCGTTTTTGGGAGGGAAACTGCCTCCTCCCCCCCTGGCCCGACCTTTGGCCTTTCAGCTCTTCCGGGGTACTGACCACCCTCCTGCGGTCCAGGTGAGATTCCTCCCTAGTGCTTCTTACCAGGAAATCCTTGGAGGGTCCCGTCCCTGAGCACTGACCTGGCTTGATCATCCTTTGCTTGCCAGATCTGCTGAGTTGGGCTGAGCTCCGTATTCTCCTTCAGCAGCTGTTCAGCACAGTCCTTGTGAGGCCGAGGAGGATAAAGGCGGCGTTGGTTCCTGCAGCTGCAGCTGCACCCGCTTGGTCTCCGTGTGGCTCAAAAAGGGCCACCTTTTCACCGCTCAGAGAGAAGGCGGTCTCTGCTGGGCTCCTATCTAGGAACTGTTCTGACAGATTTTAATGATAGTTTGGTATGCTATGGAAAGTACCTCAGATCGTCAGGCCGATAGGGAGGCCGGAGGGGGCATGCAGAAGATGAGTTCACCTGATAACCCTTTGGGGATGCAAGCAAGAGCCAAAGGCTGGATGCTTCCTCACAGCCTTTGTGTTCAATCAGAACACCAGGTTCCTCCCCTTTGGCAGCTCTCTTCTAGAACAGAGACCACCACCCTGCCCTCCAAAATCTAGCTCCAGTAGAAGCTGCCAGTGGCATATTCCTATACACATAATACAGAGAGAGAGAGAGAGAGAGAAAGAGAGAGAGAGGCAAGCAAAGCAACCTGTGGACACAGGGTGGGAGCCCAACCTGAAGGCAACACAGCTGGGGTCTGTCCCGAGAAGCCTCTGCTAGGAGGCAGGCAGGCAGGCAGGCCTGGCTGGGGTAAAGGACAGCCTGGGCGCCCTCTCTGCTCTGTTCTTTTCTGTACTGTAGGAAAAACACAGGAGGAAAAAAAAGCAGCTACACTGTGTGCAGTTAACATCATTAGAGACAGAGGTCCCTTAAGTAAGGGGGAAAAGACAAGTGCTTATTCTAGCATACCATTGTTTCAATTTGCTGTTTACCAATTAGCTTGCTTTTGTTTTGTAGCTGATTCTCAGAAGATAAACATGGGCTTCCTTCCCCAGTCTGGTTTCACAGGAAGCTGCTTTGAAGGATCCTGAGTGCAGCAGCTGCCTTTAAACATGTCCCATCATTTCCAGCTGCTGTTCTCTCACCCTGCAGGGCAACAGAAGGCTCCTTCTGTTAGAAGGCCCTTGTGGGTCATTCCAGCCCTAGTCTTTGAGGATACTACGTAAGAGCCAGAGGAGGAGGAGGAGAAAGGCTCAGCTGATTGGATGGACTAGCCTCATCTGGTGAGGCTGAAGCTCACTGGGGCTTGTGGGTCTGCTCTCTGCCTTGGCGAGGGTTTGCCCTCTTCTGTAAAAAGGCCGTGCAGAGCCTCCTCCTGCTGTTCCTCCAAGTGTGAGGCCTCCCTCTTAACAGGGCAGGGAGAGCACGGCTCCCTTCGAGGGCTGAATCCAGAGGTGGAGCAGATGGCGAGGCAGGCGCCAGCAGGGGCTGTGTGGGTGGGGAGTGTCCCCTTGAGGTTATGAGCAGGGGAAGCGGGTTCGCCTTTTGCTGTGCCGAGACTGGGGCTGTAGGGGAACCTCCATGCGTGATGCCTCGTAACACAGCACAGCAGAGGAACAGAACGGAGGCAGACCCCAGGGGATGAGCAACCAGGGAGAGCTAGCAAGAATTTGACATGGGAGGCTACGGGGGAGGCCCCCCAATGAAATGTTTAGCTTTTGGGTAAAGTTACAGACCTTCCCCTCATCCTTCAAAGCAGACAAGACAAAGGAAAGGGCATTCATAGACAAACAGAAGAAAGTTAGAAAAAGCAAAAGGGATTGTGTAAGGAAGAGACACTTCACTGCAAGGTGATCTGCAAGGTGCGCAAGAACTGCCTTCGTGCCTGAGAACAGCGCAGTGTACACAAGCAACAAGGGCAGAGGGGCAGCCCTGCTGAAAGACAAAAAGGGAGAGGTCTGGAGCCGCCAGTGGCCATGTTTAAGGCTGGAAGAGAACGTGAAGACTGTGTTTAGACAGAGCTCTCAAGAACAGCCCAGCAGCGTTGAGGAGAGAACAAATGTAACGGAGGAGGCACCGGGGAAAAGAGTCACAGTTATCGTAGGAGCAAAAGGAGGAGGAGACGCGCTTCCCCCAAATGGAATGGCAAGAGCACGTTCAGAGTCCTGAAGAGGACAGCGCGCAGAGGATGACGACCCCCCCCCCCCCGCGGGAGGACATGCACAGGAGGGGCTGAAGCCCAGGCCAGCAGAGGCAGTGAACCCACAGCCAACAAAAAGAAGAACTCCCGACTGTTATGGGACTGAGACCGAAACAGGCTGGGAAGATCCACCAATCCGCCTGGGACGCTTAGGGAGGCGATGGAAAAATTGCCCTTGCTCACAGAGGCGCATGCTATTCTTCTCATCCTCGTCGGAACAAAGAAGAGGGAAGTTCTTAGGACAAAAAAAAAAAATCATGCCCATGACCAGTAAGAGTGGCCTCTTTTTCATCCTTTTATTGCAACTTCGTTTTTACATACATTTGTCCAACTCTGCAGGTCCCTTTTGGCCCAGCCCCAGAGACAGCTGAAGCCAGCCCTCTGCCAGCCCTTATCAGCAGTTGCTACAACGCCCACCAATGCCTGAAATCTTCTCACCCTGTCTTGCGCAGGGTGTTTTTAGGAGAGCCTTCTTGCGTGTCCTTCCAGCGCACGTCTCCTCCCAAGTCCTCCTCCTCCTCCTCCTCCTCCCACAGCTCCCTGGCCTCCCACAGCCAGCCACTCAAGCCTTTCCCTTGTGGCAGGAGACCCACTGCTTGACATAGCTGGCCAGGAAGGCCTCCTTCTCTTCTGCTCCCACAGAGCCACAGCCTGCTTGGCCTTCTTGGCACTCGGCGTCTAGGGGGCTCCCACACTCCTCACAATCGGCAAAGCCACTGTCGATGGTGTCGAGATCCAGGCCGTTCCCGGCATTGCCCTCCGTATCCAGCTCGGGAGAAAGCAGCTCCCTGTAGAAAGGGGCCTCCTCAGCTTGTGGGGAGGAGAGGCTGAGCGGGGTGGCCATCCATAGGGTTTCAAAGGGCACCGGGCACAGGCCAGGGGGCTCCCTCTTGTCCGCAGCCCTTCTGCCCAGAAAGCCTCCCGTTTGCACCAAGGCGGGGGCGGCCTCCTCCCAGAGAGGGCTCTCCATCTGGGACTCTGAGCAGCAAGGCGAGGGGGACCCTCTGGTCCATGGCAAGAAGGGCCCCGAGACCTGGCCATTGCTGGCACCTTCTGGGCAGAAGCCGCAGTAGGCATCTCCCTCCGCAGATGGGTTTTCCTTCTCCTGCCACTGCTCAGTGACACAGCAGAGGCCGGTGCGGCCACATTGAGGGCAGCAGTGGGGCAGTTCTCCAGCCACTGTCACCGTGTCGATGGAGAGGTGGCCATAGGGTGGCTCAGACATGGTGGCCTCCTCCTGCTTGCCCTCACGGCGGTTGTCGGCAAAGATCAGCAGGCTACTTGGCAGGGCACTGGCCTGCAAAGCTTCCCGGTCACCCCTCCACCCTCCCTTGGCAGGGCTTGGCGGTGGCAGGTACTTGACGCCGATCTTCTGGCAGATCTCAGGCACGACTGGCCCCCATTCGGAGATATCCAGCACTGCTCTGGCAGAGTAGGCGCCTACCCACTTCTGTACAGAGAAGGAGAGAGAGATCAGCAAAGCACCTGCAATGCCAAGGAGGCGGCAGGTACTTGACGCCGATCTTCTGGCAGATCTCAGGCACGACTGGCCCCCATTCGGAGATATCCAGCACTGCTCTGGCAGAGTAGGCGCCCACCCACTTCTGTACAGAGAAGGAGAGAGAGATCAGCAAAGCACCTGCAATGCCAAGGAAG